TGATCTTGGGGTTGTGGGATCCAGCCCCAAGTCAGGCTCCAAGCTCAGCATGGAGTCTGCTTGGAATTCTTTCTCTGCCCCTCCCCCTGCTCTTGCACACTCGCACACTCTCTCTTAAAAAAAAAGATTCCTAACGTTAGGAAGTTTTCATGGAATTGAGACCTGAATGTAGGAGCAGAGTAATTTGAATCTATGGAATTGATGGAGACATTCCTTGATGAGGAGCAGATATTCCCCATGGACCTTGTAAATCTGAAACAGGTAAGAGAAATAAAGAAACCAAATTTACAGCTTTGATGAATAGCAAAATTTGTCAGGGAGAGCTAGATATTAAGTGATTAGTTTGTAAGAAGCAAAGCATAAATCTTTAGCTGTGGAAAGGGAAGAGAACCAGACAATCATATTTGGGGCACTGGTCTGAACTTGTGCTGGAAAAATAGTTTTTTGTTTTGTTATTTATTATTACTGATGTAGGAAACAGACAAAAGAAAAATTTCCTTACTACCTACAGCCGGCTGTCAAGTCCTTGAAACAGGTAGAGTGATATTCCTCTAGGGACTCAGCTGCTTCAATGTTAATTCTTTGCTAAGGGCAAAAGGTGATCTTAGCCCAACTGCCAGGATCCTGTAAGTCTGCTTGAACATATAAAAATTCCTTTGGAAACTTCCTTTATCTCTATCCCCCAAGATACATGTTGGCAATCATCCCTCAAGCATATGGCCCACCGATATATATCTGCAGGGTCTCACGACTAAGGTTTTATTAGGTGGTAATAAATTACCTTTTCCTAACAATGGCTAGCCCCCTCAAGATCCTGGAAACCTTGCTTCCAAAATTCCTTAGAGACTTATGCCATCCCTAACCCCCCTCCCAATGTGAAAGTATATAATGGGCCACTCCTCGGGACCCCAGCGCAGCTCCTTCTGCCTATGGATCCTGCCCCTGTGCTTTAATAAAATCACCTTTTTGCACCAAAGGCATCTCAAGGATTCTTCCTTGGCCATAGGCTCAGAACCCCAGCATCTTTCCTACATCATTATTATTATTTAAATCAAGGGGGATAAAACTTGTAGGGCCCCACACTCCCAGGGCCTCTGAGGTAAAAGGTGCACTTAATGAAGCAGGACACTTGGGATTTGAAGGAACAGTTGCTTTGCTTTATCACTTATTTTGCTGTCCAAGAGCGACAAATAGATTGAAGAGAAATGTCACAGTTGAGATAAGATGGCCAGAGCTGAGAAGGATGACAAACTAATGCACACAAAGGCTCATGGGTCACTAGGACTTTTGTGCCTAGGTGTTCTGAATCTATGGGTTCAGGTTTCTGATTTTTTTTTTTTTTTTTAATTGCGAAACATTCTGGGTATTACGTATTACCATATATACTCTACCATAGCCTCGAAGAATCCGGCAGGAGGTGCTGTTTGCTGTCTTATCTTATACCACAGTGCCACCTATAGGAAACTCATGTGAACTACATGCAGAAGTTATTAAAACGTATTGGAGGCCTGTCTACACGATTATTAGAATCACAGGATTTCAGAGGCGATGGGACTTTAAAGGTCATTGGAGCCAAATTTCTACCAAGAGCTTGAATTATTTTTATAAAATATTTGATTAGTGGTTGTCCAACTTCTGCTTAAACTTCCTCAGTGAATGGAAACGCACTTTCACTAAGCAGCTCATTCCTTTTTTTTTGTTAAAGATTTTATTTATTTATTTGTCAGAGAGAGAGAGAGAGTGAGAGAGAGCGCACAAGCAGAGGAGCGGCAGGCAGAGGAAGAGGGAGAAGCAGGCTCCCCGCCGAGCAGGGAGCCTGATGTGAGGCTCCATCCCAGGATCCTGGGATCATGACCTGAGCCGAAGGCAGATGCTTAACCAACTGAGCCACCCAGGAGCCTCTAAACAGCTCATTCTATTCATATTTTCATATACTTCTACTTTTGACTCTGCGCTTCACCACTCCCTTCTGCAGTAGCTGGGTCCCCTAGTTCTAGGCCTTTCCAGGGTTCTTTGAGGTGAATTTGCTTCATTCTCAGTGGTATCCCTGTTTGCATATGCTTCAGTGGTGGGTTCTGCCAGTTCAGTTACCACACTTTCCATCTTTCAAATTATCGTCTACATCTCCTGTCCTCTTTTCCTCCTCTCTCCTTCTCTTTGTTCCTTTGGATTTATGCTTTTGTTAGGAAACATTCATCTACTGTAGTGTTGGTCGGTTTTGGAAGAGGGGAGAAATAAAAGCAAGAGATGAAATTCTTCATGTTTAGTTTGAAGCATTGGCATGTTTTTCTGATTCTGTTCTTATGCATTAAAGAATATAGGTATAGTGGTTTATGTTTATTTCAATTAGAATTTTTATTGTGAAATCTAGCTCATTATTATGGCATTTGAATCTTCACTCTGCCATTCAATATATTGGCTACCTCACCCAGTCCTCAAGGAAGAGGAAAAGCAAGCTGGCTGTACACTCAGCTATCTACTCAATGAACAGGACAAGGCTGGAGACAGAATCCCATGGCACTAGAGACCGGGGTGACATGGATTCATAATTAGCATCTATCTTCGTGATTATCTGGATCAACTACTCCATCTTGCTCACAAGGTGCGCGTCTCTGTCAAACACCGAGCTAAAATGCTGAAGCACAGTGTTGACTGCTTTCTCTAATTTACCAGTCTGGCAGAGTTAAAAAAAAAAAAAAAGGAAAGGAAATTCTATTAATTCATTAAATTACGACTTGTCCTTCCTGACTCCTAGGCATGTTTAAGTGTTTCCCATCCTCTCTGTGTTCAGAGTGATGTTTGATAACCTGTCTGAGAATTGCATTGTTCATCCCTGCCCCATTTCCCAAGATTCTTCAAAGATAATGAATAGTGGCTCCTTTTATCATCACGTTCTTCCTACTGGAAGCAGGCTGGGATGTAGTTCGTTGGGGCCAGGAGGTTTGTACTGATGTTGTGAACCCAGGTGCTCTCTTATAGTCCCTCCACCAGTTTGGACTTTTAGGTCTCTCGTCTGAATGCTTGTTCAACTATTTCCTGTCTGATAAATCCTTCTCCTTGTTGGAGATGAAAGATGGAAAACAGGAGACGAAGCGTTCCACAAACTACGTATCTGGCCCTATGGTTGATCTGTCCGTGCCTTGTTCTAATTTCTCCTATATAATTTCAAAAAGTCATCCTTAACATTTAAAAGTTTATAGTAGACCCCTTGGGTTTACAAGGAATTGAGAATTATTCAACACTTCTGATCTTCAGTAAATCGCTTTATATGAGGCTGGTGTGGTGCAGTCTATGCTTTGTAGGGTTCAGACTGAAGCTCTTGGCTTAGCAACTCATGATTTAACTCAGATTCAGAAAAAAAAGAAAAATGTTTCAAAATTCTTTATAACTTCATTAAGTTATCTGCCTTTCCTACACATGGGATAGAACCTGAAATGATTTGGCTACACAGGGTGTTGAATTTCTTCAGTATGGCTCTCTAGATTCATTCTCTGCCTTTCCCCCTACCATTCTCCAACCTGCCCGGCTGTCTTGCATGGATTACATCAAATCTCTGGCTTTCTGCAGAAATGAAAGGGAAGGAAAGAGGAATATGAGGTCAGGGCCTTTATTTCCCTGATTCCTTCCTGTGAGGTTACCATGGGCCACTGTGTCCCTCAGCAGAAGGTTGCTGCTCTTGTCTAGATGGCCCACTCCCTACCCTCCCTCTCTTGTTCGAAGTTATGGCAAGCTCGCCTTCTCTTTTTCCTTTTGGGGATGGTGACAGTCCCACTACCATGACCTCTCATGGGTCCCATATACCCACTCACCCCTTTGGAACTAATTCCTCTGTTGGTAAAACCTCTTCAAAGTTTCCTGATTTGAGTGTATCATCTGTTTCTCTTTTGGGGGACAGGAGGACCTTGACTGATAACAGAAAGTTTAAAACAAGTCTGAGGGAAGATGCTTCCACTGTGTCAAGTTCTATTGGACCTTATATTGTAATATTCTTAGGCACTCTAGGAACTGGCCGTTTGTAGAAGTTTCAGTGCATCAGAGTCAAAGATAGAAATATTTTAGAAATTATTTATTTGTTTTTAGAGAGGGAGGGAGAGAGAGAATCTTAAGCAGACTCTATGCCCAGCACGGAGCCCGACACGGGACTTGATCTCAAAACCCTGAGACCATGACCTGAGCTGAAATCAAGAGTCAAACACTTAACTGACTGAACCACCCAGGTGCCCCAGGAATTTTTTAGATCCGAAAATCAAGTGGCTTTTTTTTTCTTACAAGAATACCCGTATAACTTGAATTTTATAATACAGAATGGATTACCAATATTTTGGTTTCCAGTCTGGTGGGTGAAAAATTAAAAAATCAGCTCAGATATATCAAATAAATTACTGGTTTCCAGAATGTATAAGAAACTCCTACAGATCAATATGAAACAGATAGAATTATAGAAAAATTATCTAAGTTACAGATTGGAAATGCATATGAAAAGATGCTCAACCTCACTAGTAATCGGGAAAACGCAAACTAAAACAAGAAAGCACTTCACATGCATTAGAATGTCAAATGTAAAAAAAAGTCAAATAATGTCCTCTGGGAAGTGGGTTTGAGTGTAAGTTGGTACAACCACTTTAGAAATAATTTAACACTATTTTGTAAAGTTTAAGGGAGGCATACTATGAAAACAACAGTTCTATTTGTACATACACATTAGTTGAAAGAAATTTTTGCATATTTATACCAGGAGACATGTATAAGGATGTATATTGCAGTATTTTTGCAAAATAGTAAAAGTGGAAATAAGGTGCTGTGAGGTAATAGAAAACATATATTGGTCTCTGCCCCTGGTTCCTGGACCAGAGCTCCTAAAACCCTCATAATTTCCTAAATGGTAAGAGTGTTAGCAGCATCTCTTATTCTAGTATTTGTCTTTGATCCCAGTTCCTGAAACAGGGTACTAAATCCCTTGGAATTTCCTGGGTGACAGGACTGTCTTTTGTTCTAACAAGGCTCCTGGATGGATCCTGGATGAGAGCTGGTCACTGGAAAGACCAACCCAAGATTAGAAGCTTGGAATTTTCAGCCGTATCTCCTACCCCTGAGGTGGGAAAGGGACTAGAAAATGGAGTTAATAATTGATCATGAACTGTGGGATCTGATGCAATTTTCAGGTAGGTAGTGCCATAATTAAGTTAAATTATAGGACACCCTTGGGTTCTGGTCCTTCTGAATGTTCTCTCTCAGCCCCATACCCCCATCAGGGTTTGCCTATTCTTCTCTAGCACAAAGCCCCCCATCAGGAGCTTTCTCCTTATTAGGCAACCCCCAAAGAGAGTACACAGCAAATTCTTCTTTTTAAAAAATTATCATTTTTGAAATACAGTTGACATACAATGTTATATTAGTTCCAGGTGTAAAACAGTGATTCGACAATTCTATATATTATGTAATGTTCACCATAGTAAGTGTAGTCCCCATCTCTCACCACACAAAGTTATTTTCATCCCCGTGACTTTTTCATACCTGGAATTTTTTTAATTTTTGTTTTATTTTTATTATTATTTTCATTATTTATTTATTTATTTATTTAAAAGGTTTTATTTATTTATTTGACAGAAAGACAGCGAGAGAGGGAACACAAGCAGGCCTCCTGCCGAGCAGGGAGCCCAATG